GTTAAGTAAGTAAGCGACCAGTAAGCGCCTTGGGTTGTGCAGGGATTGGCACTTACCTTGTTATTTTGTTTATGATAAATTCAGTAAAACTTTTTGTAAGCCCCCCCGGGTTGTGTCGGAAGGGGCGCTTGCCTTATTTTTTTACTTATAAAGTTAATAAGCGACTAGTAAGCTCCCCAGGTTGTGCAGGAATTGGCACTTGCCTTATTATTTTATTTATTGTTAAGTAAGTAAGCGACCAGTAAGCGCCTTGGGTTGTGCAGGGATTGGCACTTACCTTGTTATTTTGTTTATGATAAATTCAGTAAAACTTTTTGTAAGCCCCCCCGGGTTGTGTCGGAATGGGCACTGGCCTTATTTTTTTATGTATTGTAAATTCAATAAGCGACCAGTAAGCTCCTCAGGTTGTGTGGGGATTAGCAATTGCCTTATGATTTTATTCATTGTTTATTAGGTAAGTAACCTGTAAGCGCCCCGGGTTGTGGGGGGATTGGCTCTTGCTTTATTTATTTATTTATTATTAAGTAAGTAAGTGACAAGTAAGCGCCCCGGGTTGTGCGGGGATTGGCGCTTGCCTTATTTTTTTTTTTTTTTTTTTTACTTCAAATACATTTTTGCCAAAAATTTGTCCAATAAATTAAAAAAGTGTAGAAAAATTTGTTTTTCCCTAAGCCCACAATTTTGCGCTCTCAATAAGAAAAATGTCTTTCGCTTCTTATCAATATTAAGGAAATTGCGCAGATAGAAATGTACCCCATTTAGTTCAAAAATGCAAAAAATTTACGCTTCAAATACATTTTTGCCAAAAATTTGGCCAATAAATTAAAAAAGTGTAGAAAAATTTGTTTTTCCCTAAGCCCACGATTTTTCGCTCTCAATAAAAAAAATGTCTTTCGCTTCTCATCAACATTAAGGAAATTGCGCAGATAGAAATGTACCATTTAGTTCAAAAATACAAAAAATTTAAGCTTTTAAAAAATAATTAATTTTAATAAATTAAACTTTTTATCGTCACTTATTAGACTTTTAGGGTTAGAGTCGAGGTTACAATATATAGTATGTTACGCAATAAAAAAATTTCAAACTCATTTTTACAGATTTCAATGCTGCTCCAATAATATTCTACGATATCTAGATATTGATTCAATTACTAGCAAGAATGTCTGGGTCCAATACAAACTCTTCTAAGACTCAAAATTCAGATGGAAGATCTGTAACAACTATTACTATAAGCAAGACTGAGTTACAAGCTTTAATGTCCAATGCTAGCAACAAAAGAAGCTCCGAAGCTCAAGGTACTTTTTTTATTATTCCTCGAGCTCGATGCTTGCCCTGGTGATATATATATCACTAGGTACGAAAGTTATTATTTTTGGCACTCGAACAGGGCTTTACGTCCTGGGACACACTTTGGGCCCACTAATCGGTTGGCACTCTCAGGCGATGGAGTACTGTGTTTTTTGGTGGGTGCTAAGTAATTAAAGAGCGCAAAAGCTATGGTAACAACTATAAACATACGGCAATATACGACAATCTTGTCTGTCTAGTGTACAAATCGTCCCTAGATATAAAATATGATGCTTATTAGTTGATTTTTTCAATTAAATTCGTTAACTGTGTTTTTTACAATGTATATATGCTTTAATTATATAGAGCCTGGAACAAAAAAGATGAAAATCTCTCAAAAAATGCTGTCGACACTTTTGCAAAAACAACACAAGACTTAAAGTAGTAATACCTGTATTGAGCCATCACCGGTACCTTCGGGAAACTCACTTTTGAAAAAAACATTTACATATTCCAACACAAAAGGTTATTTAATTATTTAATTGATTTTTTGTTACTAAATATGTATTTACAAATGTATGATCCATTTATTAATGTTTTATAGTCGTCAAACCTTTGAATGAAAACAGACTATTGGAATCTCCTGAAACTATTTGCAACAATAAACCACTGGAATCTACAAATACATCTGCAAGGACAAAGCTTCCGCAAACACAAAGGGACAAACATACTACCTCAAAAAATAACTCTGCGTCACCTTCATCGAGTAGCTTATTATGAAGATCAGACAGTTGAAAAATCAGGTAAAACATATGTGTAATTTAAGAAATAACATTATGTGAAGATTTTCTTATGATTCTCTATAGAAGACAAGTTATTCGATGTAGATGACTTTCGTGGGCAGATACCAGAGGACGAAGATGTTAACTTGAGTCCTAATAATGATTTCCAAGTCGAAGAACGTAATGATATCAGAACCAAAACTCCTGATATGGTATCCACAGAAGCAAGCGGGGGAACCATTGACTACATCGAAATTGAGGGTGCTCTCCATGACAAAACAACATGCTGCAGTAAAAAATATACATATTTATGTTTTTTTTTGTTATGTAAGCAAGCAAAAGAACGACTATTAGAAAAATGTTTTAATTGCTATTGCTTATGTTATAGATGCCTGGAGAACTCTATTGTTAGAGTGTTTGGAAAAGCAAAATGAAAATTTATTAATTTTAAGAAGTATTGAGCAGATGATGATGCGTAATTATGGACCAGGCGGTAGACAAAGAGCTGTACAAGACATGCAAACTTCATTTAATCTTTTTCAAATGTTACCAATTTCTGATAAGGATGAATTGAAAAAATTTGACAGTGATATACACAAAGTTCAGCACCAAGCTTTAAAAAACAAATTTGTAAGTGTATTTTTTTACTTTTTATCAATAACAATGTGCCTTTTTTAAATATCTGTTGTTATTAAGATCAATGTATGCTTACCTCTAGTATGACAATTTAAAACCCAATTCTTTTACAGATTGAAAAAATTAGTAGGATCGGTGGTCGTGATATGCAAAAAGAAGTGGCAAATATAATGGAAAAAATCATAACAGATCCACTAGCAAACCAATTGACTTGGAAAATACATAAAGAAAATAAAATGCGTATCGACTCTTTCAACTTCCCAAAAATAATTAACGGTAAACAATTTAAACTTCAGACATCCTAAGAAAATTACTAGTTTCTTTAATTAATTATTAAAATATATTTTTTTAGAAATGATCAGAAATAAATATAATGTCACGGAAGAGAAAGTTTTTGAGTGGATTAAAATTTGGATCCAAAAGTCTAGTGACAGGATAAGGTACAAGAACGAGCAAATTGAAAGAGAGAGACAAAGAAATAAAAAAGAATAATTTTGTCCTTAAAGAGTTACGATAATTTTTTTAATAGCCAAGTCTTGAATCATTACACCGTAGAGTTTTTTTTTAACCGATTATCTTAATTTTGCTTCATATTTGTTACCATAACACTGATAACATCAAGTGTATACTTCTTAATTATTTCATTTTTTATCATATTTTTTGAAAAATAAAAATTAGTGTTATATTCATAAATCAATTAAACAGGTAGTAAAACGATAGAGGCCTAATTAAATTCAAGCTTACAGAGTTTTATAACTTTATTATGTTGTATTATGTTGTCAGTATTTAAGTAGTTTGTGAAATTTAAAGTATTAAAGTTATAAAAGATGATAAGCTTGAGTTTAATTTGGCCTTTCTCTTTTATTGTTTCATACTATTTATATACACCTCTCGAAAGATATCTAAAAGCCTTCTTTGAGAAATTTCTAAAAGAAATCGTAAAGACATCTTATACGATTTCCTAAATAAGACTTTTAGATGGACATTAGACTTCTACAAGATGTCTTTAGATTTTCTTTTGGAAATTCTTGAAGAAATCTTTCAATTTAGCAAGACGTCTTGTAGACAAAGATTTCTTTGTGTTTGCTGGGGTGATCGGCAATTTAGCAACCGTGCCATCTGTTGACGAGTTAGCAAGCAGCGAGAGAAGGCTTTCTAGCAGGCTCAAAACTTAATCAGTTCTTCCAAGTGTAATAAATCTATTCTTTATCGAGATTAATTAACTATTTTGACAGTGTATGATAGGTACATTGATGAAAATTGTATATTGAACAGCTCTGTACATTGTTGACAGAGCAACTGACTTGCCAGTTTGTATTTCTCACAAATTTCGTCATGTTGACAATGGTATACACACTCAATAGGTACTGTGTTGGTAATTTGTAAAAATATCCATTATACTTAGTGGTGAAAAAAAAGGCTCATTTTAATATTGGAAAATTATGTTTAAAAACAACTGGTATTAAAAATGATTCTCTTAAATTTGTTGGAGGAATTCATTAGTGTGGTCTAATTTTACTTACGACATGTACTTGCCAGGTTGGATTAAGTGAAAAATGCAAGCATTATGAGATAGCTTCGTTATTTTGCAACTGGTCGATATACTATATGTTTTTTTATCACATGGGAGCACTAATTGCGAGTTTTGAGCCTGCCAAAACGCCTTCTCTCGCTGCTTCACGCTGCTTGCAAACTTGCTGACAGATGGCGCGACAGCTAGGTTGCCGATACAGTGGGTTGAGGGGCAGTGCGGCGGATAACCGCCATTTATAGTACATGTACCTAAATAACATTTCACATAATACTCCACAATGCCATTCTACAATCGCGCTTTTGCTGTACTGCGCAAGTGCGTTGGGGCAGCACAATCATAGAAGAGGCGTTAGGCACAGAACTGTATATCTAAATACACGGGAGAATAGTGGGAGGTGCTAAAAATGGCCGAGCCAATCAGCACTGCGTGACCCTATACACCGCTCTGTCCCTCGGCCGACTGAAGTTGCCGATCCTAATTCACAACACCGACTTAGGATTAAGGATTACTTTTAAAATTAAAAAAGAAATTAAAAAACGTACGAAAAGAAAAATGAAAAAGAATTGTGATGAGTTCTCGATGTCCGGTCATGCGTGACCGGAAAGATAAGATGAAAGAAAAAAGCGAATAAGTATATATAAAAGACAATGTAAATGACAAGCGGAAAATAAGTGATTATAAAACGTAAAAATAATATACCACACTATATAAAAGACTATGTAAATGCTCTATAAATAAAGGAAAAAGGAAAGTGTACATACCCACAGTTGGTCAGTACACTATAATATAAAAAAGAAAGTATATGTAACCGGCGCGGACAGACTACTGCGACTATTATACATAATATTGAAACACACTAAACTAGTGAAGGAATGAAGCCCATTGTTATCTCGTTGCCTAAGAAACTATAACGAAAAAGGTACTGACACTAGGATATTCTAACAAGGCCACGTGCACGATATACTAGGACGTTCTGCATCTATGACAACGGTTGCTGCAGCAGACAGCAGTTACAGAGCTTGATTTCTTTGCTCCGTTTCTACCACCACCACCACCACCACCAGAGTGACGGGGAGACAGGTGGAAGGTTGACTGAGTGTACGTGCAACTTAACAGTTTCTCTTAGCACTATCAAGGTGGTGCTTAGCGATGACAGATAAAAATGTTGACGGGCAAATGGTTTATTTCATTTACAGTTTCACTTCACTTATGCACAATTACTACAATCCAATAGAGCATAGAGACATTGCACTCACGACGATCACGACTGTCATCACTAGTGACTCGCGATAATGCGCTTCTAAATTGCATACACACACACACGCACCCGCGAGAACTTCAGCAACAAGCGTCGTCCGATCTAATCCAGTTCTTGAGCTTGGCGTATCTATATGGCTTACTCACGTACGTTTATTCATACAGATGCCAAATATAAATAAAGTTGACACGCAGAATGCAGTGATGAATAAACGAAATACCCACAATCAATGGTACCTTGTGAGGTTTAGTATAGTACAATGTGGTGATGTCGCAATTACTTTATCTGTTAACTGCTACGGCTACAGCACTTCGTTTACATTGAGAATTGAGAACCAACCATAGAGATACAAGAATAGAGGGTGCTAAGCTAAACCCACACAACCCTATACTAAACTAAGTCCCACCGACCCACCCCACCGTTCCACGAGGTTTGTTCAAACCAATTCTCGGTGAGACTCGGAGAGACACTGGGTGCCTCCGAGAATGGAATGAACAAGTTTTTTTCTCCGAGTGTCTCCGAGAGACTCTGACTGTCCCTGAGAATGTATATGCACACGTTAGGTGAGATAAATTAAAATCCTATGTAGATTCACTCTAACACTGAGACATTCTGTTTACTTTTTGTACTTATCTAACCTAACGTGTTCATATACATTCTCGGGGACAGTCAGAGTCTCTCGGAGACACTCGGAGAAGAACACTTGTTCATTCCATTCTTGGAGGCTCCCAGAGTCTCTCCGAGTCTCACCGAGAATTGGCTTGAACAAACCTACGGTGTTGCAGCCTTGCAGCTTGCAGAGAAAACACATAGACATATAAGAAATGTAGACTGCTCGTTCTTATGTACGGCACTGAAGTACGAGTAGAAAGAGACACAACGTTGAACGTGGGTATCTGTCTCTCTCGCAGATTGCCAAAGGTAGGGGTCAGTAAACTAAGGATGCGTATACATGGAGTCTTGAACTTCCAGAATCAGCCAGAAGCCCGTGTAAGTGCGAAAAAAAGAATAATATGTTATTGCTTCTCACTCGCACTCACACGCGGGCTGATGGCTTGTCCTAAAAACTAAAGACTTCATGTATATACGCAGCCTAAGCCAGCTGATGCAACCTCCCCGCTGTAGGCAACGTGAGAGAGACAAATGCACACGTTCGATAGTGTGTCTCTTTCTACTTGTGCTTTAGCGCCGTACATAAGAACGAACAGTCTATTTTGTATATGTCTATGAGAAAACGCATTATAAATTATTTCCATGTTGCTATAGACTTGTTCGATTCAAGTACTCCAAGACTCCAAGCGACCCAAGACCCAAGACTCCAACAGTCATTAAGATGTACACACGGTGCAAGATAAGACAAGTGGTGCAAAGCAAAAAAACCAACTCTATGCTTTGTGCGGTCTGTCGCAATTTTGTAGCAGTACCAAATTCTCCACTAGATGGATTAGTGTCAAAAAGGTAGTATACATTTGCATACAAATTGAAACGGTTACATATGTATATGAATACATTCTACATTTATATGCTACCTTTTCGACACTGATCCATTTCGGGTAAAACTTGGTACTGCTACAAAATTGTAACTCGGCAGAGATGGTACTTCGTACCACTTGTCTTATCTCTTGTCTCACACCGTGGGTGTGCATCTGTATTTGCATAGACATATGAGAAATAGACTGCTCGTTCTTATGTACAGCGCTGAAGCAGAAATAGAAAGAGACACAACATCAAACGTATTTATATTTCTCTCTTGCACGTTGCCATTGGTGGAGAGGTTGCATCAGATAGACTCTTTACTGACTCAGTGACTCTTAGTTTACTTGTACAATCGTACTAGATTTGAATACGGGCGACGTATCGTCATGAAATCCATACTGCCTCACTCGTCTGCTAGTGTGTGTGGACATGACCGGGTGTAATCCGCAATCGCCACCAGCAGCCTATATTATATACACTGCTGTGCTGTCTGCTCGACGGAACATTCTCCCTAGATCGTATAGCTATATATACGATCTAGGGAAAAAGTTCAGATACTAAATCCGCCTAACCCAACCCAACGCTGAGCATGGCAGTCAGCAATCTTCCTACGTTCCTATACTGATCTCTGCCGCAGTTTCAAGTTCAAGGGTTGAAGTGTCTCAAGCCTCAAGTCTCAAGTCACACCAACTGTCAGCTGTATAAGTTTGGCCCCCAGAGTTTATAAATACCAAAATAAATTACACCATTAGATTGCGCGTAAAAAATACAACAAATAAGCGAACTCAACTTTTTTGCGCGTTGCCTTATTTTTTAATTATAAATAACAATTACTTGGGGGCTGCCCCCAAATTTCAATTTTATGATTTGCTTGAGTAGCAAGTCCTACAAAAATAAGTAAAGGCTTAAAAGAAAGCGCGTGCATTGCCCACCTGAAAAAAAATGTCGGAATTCTATGTAGAATTACTTCTGTAAAACTTTCAGGAAAGTCATAAGGCATTACACATGGTTTTACATATGGCATTACACAAAGGGTTTTAGCTTGGTGATGCCATATGTAATTCCATATGGAAAAACACATGGAATTACTAATTGGAAAAAGAAAAAATTTCTATCATCTCGAAATAACTGCAAAACACCATGATAAATTATTTGCAGTTAGCAATTTGTCTTACTATCGGGATGATAACTCCAAAACAAGGGGGTTCAGCTGATTTTACTTCTATAGAAAAAAATTTAATTTTTCAATTTTTTTTTNAATACCATGATAAATTATTTGCAGTTAGCAATTTGTCTTACTATCGGGATGATAACTCCAAAACAAGGGGGTTCAGCTGATTTTACTTCTATAGAAAAAAATTTAATTTTTTAATTTTTTTTTCATTCCTGAAATATAACTTGAATCCTCTTGTTTTTGAGTTATCATCCAGATGGTAACACTAATTGTTCACAGTAAATGATGCATTACAGTATGCTGCAGTTATTTCTAAATGACAAAATTTTTTTCCTTATTCCAATTTGTGATTCTATGTGTTTTTTCAAATGCAATTACATATGGCATTACCAAGCCAAAACCCCTTATGTAATGCCATACCTAAAACCATATGTAATGCCACATGGCTTTCCTGAAGGTATTACAGAAGTAATCACAGATGGAATTCCGTCTTTCTTTTTCAGGTGGATGCGCCTGTTGCCCCCGAAATAGTTTTTATAATTAATAAATAAATTATTGCAAAAATTGTAATAAAACATTTTATTGTAAATTTTTTGCCCTCGCTTATGCGCAGACGATCTCCAACAAGTCTTGCGCTATTTCAGGTAATTCTTCCGGACCCCCTAACATTGCTTTACCGTACATGTATATTTTTACTTGCTCCATTTTTGTGTTAATATAGGTAAATTTAACATTCCACGTACACATTTTGAAACCACTTTATTCAACTCAATCATTATTTAATCGAGTGTAAAAACTAAAACAGAAAGAAAAAACTTGTGCCCATGATACCAGACGTCATTTTTGCAAACAATGATGAAAATTACTCTGGATCCAGTAAGCCTGTTGCAGAAGTGTCCTAAAGAACAATTAAGACAACTCTGCAAATCCAAGAGAAAAAAATTATAAAACTATTAAAAATACTATTGATAATGCTAAGTTGGAGATCGTCTGCGCATGCGCGAGGGCAAAAAATTTACAATAAAATGTTTTATTACAATTTTTGCAATAATTTATCTATTAATTATAAAAAACTATTTCGGAGGCAACAGGCGCAATGCACGCGCTATCTTTTAAGCCTTTACTTATTTTTGTAGGACTTACTACTCAAGCAAATCATAAAATTGAAATTTGGGGGCAGCCCCCAAGTAATTGTTATTTATAATTAAAAGATAAGGCAACGCGCAAAAAAGTTGAGTTCGCTTAATTGTTGTATTTTTTACGCGCAATCTAATGGTGTAATTTATTTTGGTATTTATAAACTCTGGGGGCCAAATTTATACAGCTCCAACTGTCGTGCAATAATAGTTGCATCTGTAAGCATTATTTGTGGAATTCAACATCATTGGAGGCAAGGCACTCACAATCACATCTTTTATTTTGCCCATTATCAGATATTCACGCCATCGGTGGCGTTTCTATTTTTGTAGAAAATAAAAGTAGTGAAGTGTCAAAATTATTGATTAGACCACTATTGCAGTGGTTACACTTCCTGACGAATTCATTTTTTTAAGGTGTATTTTACGCAACCAGGTTATGGGCGTGTTCGTTGTCTAATTTATTAATAATAGTTTGAGAGCGTAATTAATTTTCTATTATACTAAGTGCTAAGGAATATTAATTTTCAGAAGACATAATTGGAAGCATATTTATATGAAATATGTATGCTACGAATTACAATTAGTTCAAAATGTTGTTGAAAGTTATTTTGTTAGATTTTTTTTTTTGAACTGCAAGCAAGCAATTGATTATCTCACTTGTAGGTTGCTTATGCATGTAATGTTTAAAATAATTTATTTTTAAAAATTATAGTTAACATGGATGGAGGTGGTTATTCAGGTGATGGAGACTGTACTGGACAGTCATCTATTTCCAATAAGAAGTTACAGCAAACTCAAGCTAAAGTTGATGAAGTTGTTGGGATCATGAAAGTCAACGTAGACAAAGTTCTAGAAAGAGATCAAAAATTATCAGAACTTGACAACAGAGCTGATGCCTTGCAAATGGGTGCTGCACAATTTGAACAGCAGGCAGGAAAGTTGAAAAGAAAATATTGGTGGAAGAACTTGAAGATGATGATCATCATTGGTGTTATTTGTGGTATTATATTAATCATCATTATACGTAAGTACTCACTTTACTTTGCTGCATTATGTGGAAAATTTTATTGCAACACTTTTTTCCAGTATCAATACCATCAGGAGATGATACCCAACCTAAGTAAGTGATCAAATAATGTAATTGTTATTTAAAGAAGAAAAGTTAGTTGTAAAGGAAACTGGGGCACTACAATCCAACAACCTTTCAACAATGATTTTTGATAGAAATCCTACATATTTTTGAGATATTTTTACAGTTACAATTTATAGGTGTCTAAGTTTATACTGTGGTAAAGTGGCCTTTTTAAAATCTGAACACATAAAATACGTATGTTTATATTCGTAATGCCTTAAGATTCTGAGCAGTGAATCCAAACCTTGATGGGTAATAGTTAATTACCGTTTGACTTTTTCTCCGATGTTGCCTTTTTTGATAATTAAAAAACTAATATTTACCATATTATGTACTTTTTATACTAATCAATAATGAACACATATCCTACTGTTCTTTATATAAATAATAACATTAAAATATTGTACAAAGTATATTTAAAAAATTGAATATAAGTGAATTGTGAATTGTGAATTAACATACCAAATTGCATATACTATAAATGTACAACTTTGATCATCAGAAATCTAATAAAAAAAAATTTTTAAAAAGTACAGCAACTTTTTTCTGTCGCTTTTTTTAAAATAATTTGTTAAAAAATATTTATTAATTCATGTACTTTTTGCACTACGTAACAAAAAAGATTTTCTACTGTTACTCATAGCAAGTATAACGTTACAAAATTGCACCAAGTGTATCAAAAAATATAAACATAAGTCAATTGTAAATTAAAGTAAAAATACTGTGAATGCTTTAAACGTACATGTTTGGGCATAAAAAATATTGAAAAAAAAAATAAACTACTTAAGCTCTATTGTAGATTCACAATCGAAATTTTAGATTAAATTATCCAGAAATAGACAGTTATACAAGATTACATAAACCATTACACTGTTTATGTGGTACATAAAATTATGCATATCATTATAAGGACTTTTTTGTGTCTTAACGTAAACTTATGTTTGTTCGGTAAAAAAAATTGTAAATTTATTAACTCGTATTTAGGCTTCTTTATCACCTACTATAATTTTTGTTCCAATTACATGATTATAAAAATCTTAAAGCTCACATTACAATGAAAAACAGTGCTTAAGGTGGCTCCAGTGGCCTCAATGTTAAAATTATAAATAACCCAAGCGAGGTTGATAAAATTGAATTATATTCTTTGAATTCCCATCTTTCTAATCGTATAAAAAAAAATTAAGGTTGACGATGAAAATTGTAAGAAATCATGCTTACAAAATCGTAGTTTTAAGACGGGTTAGATAGGAAATGCAAGCTTACGCGATATACAACCTACTGCTGCACTTATATAAATAACCCGTAAGGTGTAAAAAACATACTATCTTCGATATATTATTGCGCAGTTTTCGATGACATGAGAAAAGTGTCTTGTTATCAAACAAAATCTTTAAATAATCGGAGACTAAGTATACAGTTGCGAGTGCAAGTCAGCTCTCAGCTGTCTGCATTCAGCAGAGTACATATATATAGGTGTAACTACTCTTGAACTTAGGAGCGTACCGTAACAGTTCATCAATTAGGGCACCATAAAACTTTTTTGTTTTTTTATATTAACTCACTAAAGTAACAGATAAAATGTAGAATATGGCTTACAACAGTCTCTACGATAATTTTATACCATATTTTAAAGAAAATAATGATTAATTTTTAGTCTCCCCATTTTGATACGGCACTAGGCGCTGGAGCCACCTTAATTAAGTTCGAGTAGTTGGTATTTACAAAGCTAAGTGTAGCTCCTGTTGCGCGGGTAGCTACAGCCAAATTTTATGCGTTTAGAGAAGAGCTTATGGATGACGCAGCCGGGCACGATTCCGATTTCTGTGGCGCCGTGATCTGAGTGTGATTTCTTGTGTATGTTGATACCAGGAATATAGGAAAAATAATTAAAAAATTCCTACTTACCTCCTTTTCGAGATATCGAACTCGAAAGTCAAAAAAATCATATTTTGTATACATGTGACATTAGGGTTATTTGTTGCTTAATTGATAGTAATAAATATGAAAAAAATAACGAAAACCATTCTATTTGCTTCTTTCTCGAAATGTAGCATCTTGATCGTCAAAAAACACATTTTAAATATATTTGAGTTTATTATAAAAACACTTGATAAATTGATATTATTTATTGATTT